TAATCTGACTTCAGTGGAGCCTTTGAACTGGGGGTAGGGGCGCCTGGGTGACTCAATTAGTTATGATCTCAGGTCATGATTTCAGGGCTAGTAGGTGAGTTCGCGTCAGCTGTGCTGACAGCTCAGAGCATGGAGCTTGCTGCGGATTCTGTCTCCGTCTCTCATCTCTCTCTGCCCCTCCACGCTCTCGTTCTTTCTCTCTCTCTCTCAAATATAAATAAACATTAAAAATTTTAACTGGAAGTAGAACAAGAGGTCTTTAAGGGACAGAAATACCCAGGTGTGCCACCTCGAGGGGCTTTCTCCCTTGCCTAAAGGCTTCACTTTTTTTTTTTAATTTTTTTTAATTTTTTTTTTCTAGGAGAGAGAGAGAGAGACAGCGTGAGCAGGGGAGGGCCAGAGAGAGAGGGAGATACAGACTCTGAAATAGGCTCCAGGCTCTGAGCTGGCAGTCAGCACAGAGCACAAAGAGGGGCTCAAACCCACAAACCGCGAGATCATGACCTAAGCGAAAGTCAGACGCTTAACCAACTAAGCCACCCAGGAGCCCCTACACAAGAACATTCCTAATTTGGGGATGTGAGTCCTCCAGTGTGCGCTATATCGTACTCTGTGTTTCTTGTTTCTTGTTTTGTTTGTTTTTAATTTTCAAAATTAAATCAAAGGCCCAATACAGGGCCAGGTGCCAGGACCCAGGAGAAGTGACAATAATAGTTGGGTTATTATGATTATTATTTCAGTTTAGGTCTCCTGCATCGCATGTGATTTCCTCAGGCCTTGGTCCACAGTCTAGTAGGATGTTCTTGTTTTTTACATATGAAAGCAAATTAAACCTTTTCTCTCTATGTTGCAAATATTCCTCACCCTAGCTCCACCCCCATCCCCTCCTCAACAGTTCTTTTTTTTTTTCAACTTTTTAAAATGAGTTTTTTTGTTTTTTGTTTGTTTTTTTTTTTGAGAGAGAGAGACAGACAGCATGAGCCGAGGAGGGCCAGAGAAGAGAGAGAGGGAGACACAGAATCGGAAGCAGGCTCCAGGCTCTGAGCTAGCTGTCAGCACAGAGCCCGACGCAGGGCTCGAACCCACAAACCATGAGATCATGACCCGAGCCAAAGTCAGACGCCTAAGCGACTGAGCCCCCCAGGCGCCCCTCCTCGACAGTCCTTGATCCTTGTCTGGAGGTTTCTTTTTTGGGAAGCCCTGTAGGCACGTTTGCCTCATGTGACCCGTTGCTCCCATCACCTTTATACCCGCCGGGCTCGGGTCTGGCCTTCCCTCCAGCCCTCATCCAAGTTGCAGCTTCCAGACCTTATGGGTATAGAAATGGGATCCTGCCACTGCCCTTCCCCCACCCTGAAGGGCTCCTCATTGTCAGGAGGGCTAAACCCTCCACTGCTGGCATCCACCTTGCCTGGGACGTCCCTCAGTCTCTTCCCTATGTGCCTGGCACTGGGAAGTATTTTTCCAGAAATGAGCTTTGTGTCTGACCCCTGGGCCATGAGGAAGCTCCTGGCAGATAGAACCGTGTGAATTCAGGCGAATCTTGGGGCCGGCACCCCACACCGGGCACTACCCAGTCCCACTGGCACTGAGCACTGGGCTTCACCTGTGGGCAGCGGCTGCCACAGGAGATGCTGTGTGAGAAGCTGGCCTAGTAGTAACGGAGGGTGGAGGGAGTTTGGGAACCCTGACTGAGCTGGGGGTCGGGACCGAGCCTTCTGACTCCTGACCTAAGCTGTGCACGTGGTGGTGAGGGTGTGGTGGGGGCGACGGGTGGGTCCTGCCTCCCTGCGGCAGCTGACGAGGCCCAGTCAATTAGGAGCTTAATATCTCCGCCTTCCATGTGGCATTGCAAACAGACAGGTTCTTCTCTCGATGGTCTGTCAGCCGGTGTCACCTGCCCCTTCTCATCACCTACTGGTTCCAAGACTCTAGGACCTGGCTTAGAATGTTCAATATTTGCATGTCACATTGACCCTCCTTGGCTTACTAAACCTGTGTCCTTCGATATACTACTTATTATTTTTGTACTGTTTATTCATATTTTGAGAGACAGAGAGACAGAGCATGAGCCGGAAAGGGGCAGAGAGAGAGGGAGGCACAGAATCTGAAACAGGCTCCAGTCTCTGAGTTGTCAGCACAGAGCCTGATGTGGGACTCGAACTGCAAACCACGAGATCATGGCCTGAGCTGAAGCCAGTCACTTAACTGACTGAGCCACCCAGGAGCCCCAATATACTACGTATTCCACCAATTGCCTGCACAACCACTGAGACAAAGTCTTTGGAGAGGAAAGCAAAATAGATGTCTTCGTGAGGCTTGTGACACTCGAGGCTGCAGCTCCCACCTCCCTTGCTGCCCGAGCGATGTCAGGGGTCGTGTTTCTCCCCTCTGCCTCCGATGCGCCAGTTACTCCGTCTCACCCTCATCCACTGAGACCTTTTCTGAAGCCACCCATGTCCTCTCCTTCCTACCCTGTATCTGTCCCCTTCCCGCCTTCCCACTGAGGTCTGAGCAGCCATGGCTGCCTTCTAAGCCTCCTGTTTCGCTGCCCCCTAGATCCCCTGCGCTCCCCACGGTCCTTTAAACATGCAAATGAGACTTTGGTCCCCCCTCCCCCATCCACTCGCAACATCTGCAATCTCCACAGCAGCCCCCACTAGCCTCACCCAGGGAAGCCCCCCTCCCTCCTCAGAGGCCTCACACATGCTTCTCTACCATGTGTCGGGATGGTTGTTTCCCTCTCTCACTCCTGAGTTCCTCTGCTTGTAGGACGGGGTAATGAGACCAAGTTGGGTGATAAATGCTGGTGAGGCGGAAATGAAGCATTCAGCAAGAGAGAGGCAAGGGGAAGGGATTCATCAGATAGGAAAACAGTGGCATTTATCAGACCCTGTGTGCAGGACCTAAGTCTCTGGCAGCTGTATACATTTTCTTTTTTCTTTTTTCTTAAAAATTTTTATTTATTTCTAGGAGACAGAGAGAGAGAGACAGTGTGAGCAGGGGAGGGTCAGAGAGAGAGGGAGACACAGACTCTGAAATAGGATCCAGGCTCTGAGCTGGCAGTCAGCACAGAGCCTGACGCGGGGCTCGAACCCACGAACCGTGAGATCATGACCTAAGCGAAAGTCGGACGCTTAACCGACTAAGCCACCCAGGCGCCCCAGCTGTATACATTTTCTATTGCTACTTAACAATTACCACAAATTCAGTAACTTAAAATGACATCCATCTATTAGTTTACTGTTCTGAAGGTTAGACACCGAGGCAGTGTCCTCTGATCCAGGTCTCATAAAGGCTCCAATCAAGTTTTGGGCAGAGCTGGGCTCTTATCCAGAAGCTCTGGGGGAAAATGAGCTTCCCAGTTCATGCAAATAGTAGGCAGATTGCAATTCCATGCAGTTGTGGACTGAGGTCCCTGTTTTCTTGCTAGATGTCATGTGGGCCTCTTCTCAGATTCTAGAAATCCCCCCTGTATTTCTTGTCACATGGCCCCCTCCAGCTTCAGAGCCCCTGGAATCCTACTTCAAGTTTCTCTGCTTTCCTCC